AGAACTCAAGACTCTCGGACATTAATCCAGCACCAAGCACGTGTGCTATCGAGTCATTGTGGTACATTATTTAGCAAACTTATATTTGTGTAGTTACCCACGTTCGAGAGTTTTTTTTAAGTTTTATTTGCTTACTGTATTATTTCCAGAGCTTCATATGGATATTAAGGATATTGACTACCTTATTACTACAGTTTATGTAATATCCTGTAAAAAAAAAGGTGGATACAAGTCTCCCTATTCGAGTGTTCACCTGGTTTAAAATCGTGGATCTCGAGGAACACACGAATTCATTCGACCAATCAAAAACGTGGAACTAGTTCGAGAGTCTCGTTCAGGTGGCGCGTCGACGCGCCAAAACACAGCTCCAGATTATCACGCGTAGTATTACTATATATACACGACCAATCAAAAACGTGGAACTGCTTCGAGGGCCCTCCGCTAAGGTGGCGCGCCGAAACCAGAGAAAAATTGAGACCACCAAAAACAGGCTCATTGGCAATCTCCCTACTCATCTCTGATGTTATCTAGTAGATTTGACCAATGGGATTTCTTAACAGTAAAGCTGAATGGAAATGGTGTAAACAATAAACATGCGAACGCTGATTGGCGGTACTGTCGCCAAGTCAAGTGATTCCAACTAATCAGAGTGCCGAGTTTGGATCTAAAAGAATCCATTCGTCCTGCTCTCCAATGTATACGCTCAGTAGATTCGGCCATTACTCGTGCGAATCATAGCGACTTACTCCGTTAAAGAATTTTATAATATTGTGCGGGTTTTCCCGAAAGTTGTACAAAATAACGCGACGCAAAAGGATGATACACTCCGGGCGCACCAGGCTCGAGGTAGGTCATGCACCGCCTCTATTGCATTTCATGTGATTACACGTAATTAGCACGAAACGCAGAGGGTCGTATGTTCAATGTTGTCATTGCGAGGCGAACAGCTGATTCGTTTCCTCTGTGTAAGTACGCACGGTAGTTAAATCCTTGCTGTTTATGAATGGAAAACGCAACATTTTATAATCGACATTATTTGGAGCATGTTGCGTAGTTTATTTTTTTACAGCTTTTTTTCACCTTTCAACCTCCTTCCATTTTCTCATTGACCATTGAGTAGACTATCCTTTGTTCTTCTTCGTTCTCGCTTATGAGTTCCTTGGCCTCTGCATCGCTTTAAATTTTATGGACCCAGACATTTCCCCCTTCATACAACCATTTTCTTTGTTCCCTTCGTCAATAATATACTACAAAGTGTATGGTTCATGGTTATATATTTTGTATTCATAACGTGTTATCATAAATATTGGATTTCCATTTATTCTTTGATTGATGTTATATATCTGTATTTATCAGTGTATATATCATTGATACGTTCCTAAAGTAACTAGTGCAATTATATTGTAATGTATAGGTGGAAGAGTATTTTTGGAATCCTCATAGAATTTGTATATATCTTATGGTTAAGACGAGGGTGAGTGTGAAAGATTAGAGAGTTATTTGAAAATTAGGGGTTGATGAGAAATGATACGGATAAAGAGAGAGAGATTGAGGGCACCAAATTGAGACAGCGATTGAGAGATACTGCATGTCACGTTTACGCGCGCATAAATTAATTTTGCGTCTATTGGTCCACGAGATACGTCGCACATTTACGTGGAAAGTTTAAATAATTAGACGTGCTTTAGCATAGTATTTAAAATGGGTTTGTGAGTTTATGAAGAATATTGAATTGTTTTTACCATTGTAAATATTTAAAAATGTAATGTTAGATCCTTGCTTAACGTTCAGCGCTTTCAGGGTACATATAAAAACGTAAGATGGACTATAAAGAGTTAAATAAAATACAAGGAAAACGTTATGGGAGAGTTTTAATTTCTCAGTTACTTAGAAAGGCTTTTGGATGTACTGTGGAATGAAATAAAGAAGAGTTAAGAGGGATTCGAGTCTATTTGTGATGTCAAAATTGTTGCTGGGAGCTGTGAAAGTATAGCTAAGGTACAACATAATACTTTAAGTGTCCAGGTCCTGCTCAAAGAATTTTTTGGAAAATAGCGAGCAATAAAACATTGGGATGTGTTTTAGAAAAAAGTAAGTCGAGTAGGAGTGGGTACAGGGGGCCAGGTCTGTCAAGGAGCTCAGCAAGCTGACGAGGCTTTAACCGGTGGTCACTGGTGGAGGCAACAACATCCCTCGCATCATCATTCTCACCACCACCACCATTATCATCATCACCGGCACCAACAAGCAGGTTACTACACGTCGCAATCACATTCTCACAACAATCCTGTCACCACCATGAAGCAATCCTACATGCAGGTTGGTGCCCGTCACTCCTTTAATACACTTTAATGCTGTTTTCATTTCACTGCTTTCTGCATCACTTTGATTAACTGTCTTATCCATTTAAACGTTTCTTTACATAATCTTGGTTATGTCTATGAGATAGTACAAAATTTAACGAAGTAAATTTGTATAGTTTCTAATTAATGTTATTTACTTTCATTTCAGCTGACATGGGTGTTTCATGATGATGAGGCGCAGATAAACAAAAAACTGCCAAAGGAATTATTACTTAGGTAACATAACGATCTAATTAGTATAATGAATGGAACTAAAACATGAGCCAGTCAGCTGAAATATCCTGCAACATTTCACAGAATTCTCTCTTATTTGGATGTGGTATCACTATGTCGCTGTGCTCAAGTAAGCAAAGCTTGGAACGTCTTAGCTTTAGATGGGTCCAATTGGCAGAGGATCGACCTCTTCGATTTCCAACGCGACGTCGAGGTAACAAGTACATTTATCAATACAGTAATACAGTAGAATTTTTTTGTAATAAATTAATATTTATAAGAATACTCCACTGTAGGGACCAGTTATAGAAAATATCTCAAGGCGCTGCGGTGGATTCCTAAGGCAACTATCTTTAAGAGGCTGCCAGAGTATTGGCAACAATTCTATGCGCACGTTGGCCCAACTGTGTCCTAATATCGAGGAATTAAACTTAAGTCAATGTAAAAAGATCTCTGATGGAACATGTGCAGCGCTAAGTAGTCACTGTCCGAAGCTCCAACGACTTAACCTGGATTCGTGTCCCGAAGTGACTGACCTATCCTTGAAAGATCTTTCGGAGGGATGTCCACTCCTAACTCATATCAATCTATCCTGGTGTGAGCTCCTCACCGACAACGGCGTCGAAGCTTTGGCTAGAGGGTGTCCTGAGCTCCGCAGTTTTTTGAGTAAAGGTTGCCGGCAACTCACTGACAGAGCTGTCAAGTGTCTGGCTCGTTACTGTCCCAATCTGGAAGCAATCAACCTTCACGAATGCAGGGTACTAGTCTTAATTTAATTAGAAACTAGTTTCACCGTGCTCCGTAGCACGGATGAGACCAGACCGTGCTACTTCTTTCAGAATATCACAGATGATGCCGTCAGGGAACTTAGTGAACGGTGTCCACGACTTCACTACGTCTGCCTCTCAAATTGTCCCAACTTGACGGATGCATCATTGGTCACCTTGGCGCAACACTGTCCACTTCTCGGTATCCTCGAGTGTGTGGCCTGCACCCATTTCACTGATGCTGGCTTCCAGGCTCTAGCTAGAGTAAGTTCATCAAGAGTTACTGAGTATATGAAAATGTTTGTAACAAAATTCTTGACGTATTAATTACAGAATTGTAGACTCCTAGAGAAGATGGACCTGGAGGAATGTGTCTTGATTACAGATGCTACACTTATACACTTAGCTATGGGTTGTCCTAGGCTTGAGAAGCTAGTAAGAAATGATTCTTCCTCATAATAATATTTAAACTTTTACTATATTAATCCATGGTATTTCATTATAGAGTTTGTCACATTGCGAGCTGATAACGGATGAGGGAATTCGGCAACTAGCCCTTTCACCTTGTGCAGCAGAACACCTTGCCGTACTGGAGCTGGACAACTGTCCACTGATTACGGACGCTAGTCTCGATCACCTTCTACAGGCTTGTCACAATCTTCAACGCATAGAACTGTACGACTGCCAATTGATCACCCGTGCTGGCATACGTAGACTCAGAGTAAAGTATCTTTTTTCTACTTTCTACATTGTCATCTTCATGATAGATGAACAAGACTCGTAATAAATCAAAAAAAAAAAGTACACACCCTGTCCATAAACTCACCACGGCTTCCTCCAACTTACTTTGTCTCGTGTACAATTGGCCAGTTTATTTTAGGTTTATTATATATTATTCCTATTTATGTTTCAGACGCATTTACCTAATATAAAGGTGCATGCGTACTTCGCACCGGTGACACCACCGCCAAGTGCCGGGGCGTCGCGACAACGATATTGTCGTTGCTGCGTTATTCTGTGATTTCGCACCCTATACACCCTGAGGTGAATCGTCCGAATGCTACTATCCGGAGCCATTCGTAAGATGGCCAAGATAGTGAAATAAGTCTACAATAAATTGTAGCGTTTCTTTTTCTGATTACCAGATAGTAAACTTTGGCATTCTGCCATTGACTCATAATCATTGAGTGGGAGCAATTTTATTATCGCTCTTGGTTCTCATGGCCAATCCTTAAATCCATTTGACACTTCATGAAGCAACGTGGACAGTACGTACCAATAACACAACAACACGATTACCAGCATACTACCAGACAACCAGTACCACCACCATCGCTGTTACTACTATTACACTACTACCATTACTATTATTACTACTATTACTACTTACTATCGCTATTAATACTATTGTTGTTATTATTATTTTTATTTGTGCTCCATTATCAATAGTATGTTATCACTGTTCCCGCCATACTTTAGAGGTACTCTGGATATTTGAATTCTTCAGGTAAAACCTTTATTATTCTTACATCCTATCAGATGTCAGACAATGTTTCGTCATATCCACATATATTTATAATGGCGTCTGTGAGCGATAATTTAAGATGCATTTTTACAAATGGCCATGAGAACTATTAATATTCATGTTCTCTCTGCCTGTATTTTGAATCCCATAACGTACCGCATCTCCTCGGCCGTCCGGCTACACCAGACGTATATTCGATATACGCAGATTACACAGAACACATTCGACGTGATTCCGGACTAGGAGAGTACAGACTGACATACGAATCAAAGTGTTAATGTGTTTGGCCCTACTGGTTGGCGAGGGAGCATCTGGCATTTTTACTTTTTAAGACATAGGATATCTAAAGAAGGTGGCAGTATTTCGTGGACGTACCGTGAAGATGACCTCGCCATTTTTTTCCAAAATCCTTTAAAAGGATATTCGATATTATCAAATCCACGAGAAAGAGGTGTCCACGCGAAAGTAAAGGATTGTAACTCACTGTTGGAAAGAGACTGCGTTTCTTTTGTGCTTCCACGTAATTTATTATTTTAAAAAATCATTGACATATGTGGATACGAGTGATATTTAATAAGATCGCATGTCATCGCCATGTAAATCGAGTGCAATACTCTACGAGGACACATCTTCGTTCCACTTTTTGCCTTTGATTCGATAAACTCGTGTACGTACAAATGCGATGACGTCACGCATGCTATCTTTACAGACCGATATCGATTGCTAATTCTTGATAGAGTTAAGAATGTAACGTAGCGCCGTATATCTAATACTAGGCCGTAACAGATAACACCGAGTAGCTAAGATTAAGAAGATTCAGTCTTCTTTGGATAAAATTTTGTAATCACTTTTCATCTCCCAATTTCCATCTAAGTGTTAGGTATATAGATATATATACATTGTAGTAGCATAATTACATCATATTCTTTAATGTTGCATTCTTTTCTTAATATTAACTACTCGGTACGGAGAGAAACGGACGAACGAGACTAGAATTACGACACTATACATATAAATAAGATATGTTTTATACGCTGCATGTCATCCCAATAGAAATAAGATGATCATTGTAACGTATCGTTTCGAAGTCAAATAGTTTTAAGCGATGTTCGTTACGTCTATGATATAAAAGAAGCATAAACATACCACAAAAATTGAACATAATAGCAAAGGACCCACTCGTAAGGGTTACTAACATTTCAAATTCTTAGATACTCTTTACTTAGACCGAGCTGTATAGCACCACGTTGTCTTTTTTTGTTTTTCTCAGCTCACTGTTTTTTTATAATCTAATATACATATAATATCGTGATACATCAAAGAAATGTCAAAATTGCCAAGCGATAAGATTTTTTTCGTGTGATTATTCGAGCTATCGTCCCCGTTGGATTCGAACCGATACGGCATTTTAATTCAATCCAATATCATTGAATTATTCTATGTGAAATGTAAAAGAGCTCAGTTATCATTTTCTTTTTAATGAGTTCTTACGGAACAAAGGTAAAAGTTATTTGACGAATCCAGTATTACCTATGAAAACTGTGTCACTGAAGGATGGATTCCGCATCTTCTATGACTATGATTTTTTGTATCGTAATTACTGTCATGGGTAATTACTATTGATATTAAATCATATTACAATAAATGAAAAACGTTGAAACCGAGTGATCGAGCAAGTGTTTGGCTGTGCAGTAGAATAGTGAAAGATACAGACGTTAAGCGAATTGGTTTCGGTATTCGCGTATTAATGATTTAATGTCTCCTGTCTACAGTTTTCAAAAAGCTAAAGAGATATGGATGGAGTTTTTATTTTATTTTTTTCATTCTGAAGGACTTTTATTTACTCGTTATCGGCAGGATTAACAATTTCGAAGCCTAAAAGCCTTTATAAAATTGTTATGAAATTCATAACAATACGCTAGCCAATTGCGCGTGAATATCGAAACGATTCCATCAATACTACGCTGCTTCAACAAGCTGCAGTCTACCATGTATATATTTTCATTAATGTATATGTACAATAAAAATATATTCGAGACAACTTTTTGTCTTTCTGCGTTGTATGTTCGTGATTTAATTTCGTATTTTTTTGTATGTTTACCACTTCTAAATATAAATTATATATTTAATTTTATGAAGACAGCTAATAAGAATATGTGCATTTCTTGTATATCATTGGCCCTAATGGTAACATTGTATATACAAATTGTGTGGTATGGAGAGAAATTTTTAGTAAACTCTTACAGCGCCATAGTGTTGAAAAAAAGTGAATGCTGTTAACAAAAATTGTAAGAAGTAAAGTTAGTATTATAATTAATATTATAATGATTGCTTATACATTAGACCTGATTAAGTTATTGTTGAAGAAAATGAACAGATATATATTTAAATGGTTTAATGAATGACTTTTTTTCTTAAATCATTTCTTCTTCAGAAAAAGGACTGCCAAAAGAGAATGAAAAATATGGACGTTGTTACTGATTTAACTAACTTTTAGGCTCAAGAATAAAAAATTTATGAAAGTGATGTTAAAATATTAATATAGTTTACTCATTCAAAATAGCTGCGGTTAATTTGTTAGTGTTATATATGACCCTATGAGAGGAACATCGGATGACCAAAACCAGTAATTTAATGACCAAACGTGATAAAAATTCTGATTCTTCAGTTTCTTAACAATTTCATATAATACAATAATGATTTTACTATTTCTGGTATCGTCAAGTTTAATGATATACCTTTATAATAGCGAATATGGTACCATCATTATAATTACTTTTCATATGAATTCAAAGAATACAAATTTCTTAAGGTAATTCTTTCTTGAGAATGAGTATTAGATAGATATTTAAATTTGGTAAGTGTTGAATATACAGTAATAAGAGGCATGTGTACTAAAAAGCAGCTGAGGTTATGAGTATCAAGAGTTTTAACGTAGTGTCTTATCAGAAATTCGCCATGGCTGCGCTTTCAATGAATAATAAATTTAGCGATTAGATGTATACATAACCTATATCTTAAATCTTTCCCGGAAATTTCCCGATTTCGTAAATACCTCGAAAAGAAGGGGTTATCGAATATTTTGATAATTGAACTAATAAGTTATGGATCCAATCGTACATGGTGAAATCGTCAAAATGGCAATTGGCCATGGATATGATTAATTTATGCTTGTATGTACAATCATTTTTATATATGGATGTTGCAATATCTTCACTTTCAATTATCTGATGATGAATTGTCATTTCAGAAGGTCCTGTAAAATGACCACCATGGTCCAAGGATCAGGATGGTCAAAATCAACTAAACTATCCCATTGGACATACATATGATTTACGTGGATCGTATTGCAATACATCACATTCCTTTGTTTAATATTTCTTGTATTTAATGGTCAATCTAATTATTCGTCAGAAAGTATTTTGTTCATTCTGAAATGAATATCCTAATTGATATTATGATTTTTCTTTTTGTACTACAAAATAAATTCCATCTTATTTTATGCACTATTGATATTAATTTATCAGAATTGGAATATGTAGCTGCTCGTCTTGATTCTAATGAATGTCGACGTTTAATAGCTGCGCTGCATTACACAACCTACGAATTACCACAAAGTATGGAAGCAGCTGGTGAGTCATACAATTGCCATATATTCACACGATAAGGATGTTGTTTCAGTAATGAAAGATATTATCGATAAATATTTAGAACGGAAAGTCGATGAGGAAATACCGTGTATTAGGCAATTATTACACTGGAACAGTTCGCCTCAGGAAGGAAAGGGTAAAACTCATGAAGACTTGGAGCGTCGTCTCCGTCAGTTAAATCGCAACGACTTGGCTGATTGGCTTGGGAAAACTGCGTTCAAACAACTTGGAACAGATTTACAAAGATCAATAGATTGTGTCTTTGGAAAGCTTGGAAAACAGGAATCAGAGACTACGTGAGTCTTAATCCGTTTATGTTAGACTAGTAATATAGGAAATCATCGTTCTATAGTCGTCATCTTAATTTCTCTTTGGTATTCCAGTTATCCAATTACAATGGAGTCTCTTGATGAGTCTGAAGAGGAGAATCCTTGGTTGCCAATTGACACTATTCTTATGGCACTTATGATGGCTTTATTGGCTAGCTTGTTAACGTTGATAGTCGCCATTACTCTTCACCAAATTAAGATACATAGGCGAGACAAAAATTTCAAGTAATTACACTAATTTCTATCAATATAAATATATTTGTGCAATCTCAATTATACTAATTCTCAATTTTTAGGTTACTAATGGAATAATATGTGGTAGTACTCTTGAACCAGGCCCCAAAAAAGAAGTCGTAATACCAAGCAATACAAAAGTTTATAAAGATTAACAACAAAGTAATGCAGAAAATACGGATAATTGGGATTATGGTATTCCATCATCAGTTTTTGAAATAAATGGCTTTCCTCCGAATAGCCAATCGTACATCGTCACATAATGAACGCAATTTGAGTTCATATTGAAGTGTTTAAATTCATATGATGATAATAGCAGTATCATATTTATTGGTGTAACTGATTTACATTCTGACCCTCTTCCGCTCTTATTCAATGCAATCAGCAAAAGAATGACAACAGTCAGGGTATTTTAATATTTATCTATGTACTAAAAAGAAACATTTATAAATATTGTACAGATATCGATTACGGTTAGCGAACGCTATATTTGCTTTATTTTTAAATATTATAATATTATATGATTTATTATATAAACTATAAGTTTCCATATTACATTCTATATTAATTTACTGGAATATTAGGGCGCTGTCGTGGCACAATTTATAAATGGCCCTTATGTTACACTCATGTAACATACATATATGTCACGAAGAGTGTACATACATTGAAAGGTTACTCCCCAATATTTCCGCCTGTTGTGAACTACGTAACAATTCTATGCAACAACTTAAGATAAGTTACATTTTAATCATTGTTAATCTTTCTTAACTTTCGTCAGTACTCAGTTAACACATAACGGCACAGTTATACTATAACACGCGAGTAACAAGATTCTAAAATATGTTTAATATAGCATGTATGGTACCAAAAAATGTATGAATGCTTGCTATGCCTTTACCCAGACAGCACAAGGACGTCCTGAGGAAATCCCATGGATATCTTAAATGGATATTCTGGAAATCCTATAGACGTTCTAATAAGGTCTCGAGCTTTCCTCTGGATTTCCTGAGGTGGTGCAAATATTCACATATTCATCATGGGACATTCATCCTTCGGACATGCTGGGGAAACCTCAATGAATGTGTTTAGGCATTTTATGGATTTTTTACAGATTTTTCTAACTACCCTAGAGAAACATTTCTTTAACACGTTGAGCTGTATATTAGGAATGTATCACGTACAAACTCCAAGTTGAGTTAGAAGACGGTAAGTATACAGGATGAGTTTTGTTAAACTCTAATTTAATTTATATTCCGTAATTGAATCATGACGCGGTTATTAAATTCGGTCCAGTAACATCAACGATTGATTTTGTTAACAGTCGGAATCAGTCGACCCAATTGGTTAAAATTTAATAACCACAACCGTGGTTCGGTCACGGAATGTACCCTCATTTATATTCAGAACTTTATGGAAATTTATTTATGTATATTATGTAAAAAGAATCTAATAAATATATAAAAATAAACTTATATAATTTGTAAAGGACAACCTGTCGATCTTGAGGACATCCTAAGACAGATTTTTTTTACAGGTGTTACGTCTGGATGAGAACCTTCAGTCACATTTCATGCTTTTAACTTGTATTTCGTCTGGTGCGACGCATTATGCTATTGTCATCCTATGTACTCATAACAAACGATAATCTAAACATTAATTTTCGAAGAATAATTCTAATCCGTCACTCACCTAATGAAAATACATCGACAGTTAGCCTTCGCACCTCTGTGACAACTAACAATAAGATATATGAGTCTTATAGAAATTATAGTATAAACAAAACAGTGGTCACGCGCTATGCCTGTGAACCGAAAACTGGAATAATAGTTAGTAATATAATAATATAATAATAATAATAATAATAATAATAATGCCATTTATTCCCTTGCGGGGTACAGCACGGACAACCGCTCCGCTTACATTAAAACTTAAAACTACTGTACAAAGTTAACCTATTTACCAATTTCCCTATACTATATTATCTATTTACATCCTCGCTCTTTCATACACCTCTGCCTTACTCGCCAAAAGAGAAAAAGAAATTCAAAAAAGAAAAAACTCTTTTGGCTCAGTCTCTCATTCACTCTCACGCTCGCAACACTCTCTCCCTCTCTCACCCTACCGACCTCCGTTTCCGGCGCTCTTTTCCTAATCCCCGCCTAATTCTCCTTCCCTATCTCCCCCCTTTCTTTCCCTATCCTTTCTATTTCCAATAGCCATCTTTCCCCTTGTCCTGACTCCCCCAACACTTCCTCTCTCATTTCTTGCCATCCTCTGTCTATCCCCAAACCTGAGCATACCTCCCATACATGTTCCCACGTCTCTTCTCCATACCCACACATTCTACACCTCTTTTTTTCTTCCTTCTCCCAGTACATTCCTCCATTCATCTCATCCCCTAACCTAAACCTCGCTACTCTGCTCCACCTCTCCTCCTTCCAGCCCCTCTTTAGGTATTCCGGTACCCCCTTCCCCTTAACGAATTTATATTCCTTGTTCCCCTTTGAATCTATCCTGGCCCATCTCTCCTCCCTCTGTTTCCTTTTTTCTATGTTCATTATCTCCTCTCCTCTCATGTTTCCTGACTCCCACATCTCTTCTACCTTCTCTACCTTCCAGCCTTTACTTTCGTAAAACTCTCTTCTCTCCCCTTCCCATCCCTCTACCCCTTTTCCAGCTCTCACCCTCTTCTTCATTTCCAGTCTATATCTTCTCGCTAGCTCCCCCCCTCTTCCTTCCTCTATTCTCTTTTCATACCCCCAAGCCCTCATTCCCCCCCTTGCTTCCATCTCCTCCCTTGCTACCTCCTCCCTTACCATATACCCTGGCACTCTTCTTGTTACCCCTAGTACCCATCTTAAGTACCTCTCCTGCAGCCTTTCAACCTCCTCTCTTTTCCTCCACCCCCAGATTTGTACCCCATAACTTACAACCGACCAAACCAACTTGTCAAACAGCCATACCCTTCTTCCCCAATCGTCTCCGAACTTCCTTTTTCCAATTGCCCATACCTGTCCTAGCACTTTCGCTTCCTTCTTCACTCTCTCTCTTACATGTTCCTCCTGATCTCCATTCCTCTTAACTACATACCCCAGATATGTGTACCTTTTAACCTCTTCCACTTCCTCTCCCATCCATCTCCAGCTTACCTTTTTAAACCTCCCACCTCCTTTCCTACATCTCATCACCTTTGTTTTCCTTATATTTACCTCTAGCCCTTTGCCTTTCACATATCTCTCCAGCGTCCTCATCATGCCTCTCATCTCATCTTCCTCTCTCGCCATTAACACAACATCGTCCGCATATGCTAGTGAGAACAATTTCTTTCTCCCCCCAGCTCTACTCCCCCCCATCGGCCCCTTTCTAGTTCTTCGTCTAGGTTCGCCAGGAAAAGGACAAACAGGAGGGGGCTTCTCTGTCCAGAACTTCTCTCCTATCTCTCTTCCTACTCTGACTCTGTTACGTGTTTCCTCCATCACTACCTCGCATCTTCTCACTAGCCCTTCCCTCACCCCTCTTTCCCTCATACTCTCCAACAATTTCCCCCTGTCTACCGAGTCAAAAGCCGCCCTGAAGTCTACAAAAAGCAGCACTAGCTTTCCTTTCTTTTTCCCTACCTCTCGGTTAATCAGGTAATTTAGCACATAGATGTTGTCCACCGTCCCCATTCCCTTCCTAAAGCCTGCTTGACTCGGTGGCAGCAACCTTTTTCTTCCCACCTCCCTCCTCAGTCTCCTTTCCAGAACCCCTACGTATACTTTGTACGCTGTCTGTTCAGTGTGACCCCCCTATACTCCTCCACCTTTTTTCCCTCCCCCTTCTTTACTATAGGAACTACTACACCTTCCTTCCAACCTTCTGGCCACCCCTCTCCTCTCCACACTCTCCTACACATCTCCCATAATGCCCTCTCCATATTCTCTCCTTCGTACTTCCACACTTCATTTGGAATTTTATCCTCCCCCACCGCCTTCCTGTCCTTCAGTCCCTGCACCACCTCCCTTATTTCCTGCAGTGTGACATCTTCTTCATCTTCAATCATCTCTCTTTCTGTTACCTCCTCTCCCCTCACTCTCTCCTCCGACCCTCCCAGCACACCTCTGAAATATCTATCCCATTCATTCATCCTGATGTTCTCATTCACGCCCTTCCTTCTTTTTCTTCCCTTATTTACTACCTTCCATACCTGCCCCTCCGTCCTTATTGCCTTTATCTCCTCTTCCCATTTCTCCCTTTCCGCCTTCCTCTTGTCATCACACAGCTTCTTGTACCTCCTTTTTTCCTCTCTGTACCCTACTTCATCCCCCTTCCCTTTCTTGAACTCCACCAGTTTCTCTTTTAAAATCTCCTTTCCTTCTCTACACTCCTCGTCCCACCATCCACTCCTCCCTCCTTTCTTCTTCAGCTTCACGGTCTCCTTTAGCCCCTCTACAATTTTCTCTCTCAAGCTCTCCCACCCTTCCTCCACACTCCGTTCACCCCACTCCCACATCTCTATCTTTTCCTGAAACAGCTCTTTCCCTCTCTCTGTCCAGTCGCCTCTGCCTATTCCCTTCCCTTTGCTCTGCCCCTTATGACGCCTCTTCCCTCCTTCTCCCCGTACCCAGACCACCACCGGCAGATGATCTGAGTCTACCTTCCCTTCCACTTCCATCCTCAGTACCCTATTTCTCGCCATTTCACTCATCACTATGTAGTCTATCACCGAACAACCTCTTTTTCCCACGAACGTCCAACTTCCCTCCTCGTCCCCTTCCACACACCCATTTAAAAATCCCCATCCTCTTTCATTTATTAAATTACACAATTTTGTCCCTTCCCTATTAATACATCTGTCCTTCGACACCCTTTCTGCCTCTGGGCCTTCCCCACTCCTATCTAGCACCATACCTCCTTCCCCTCTCGTTCTAGCATTGAAATCCCCCCCTATAATCACTCTACACTCATCCCCTCTTTTTTCCAGCCACTTTTCCTACATCTCTAGCTTCTTGTCTATATCTTTGTTTACGTAAATCCCAACTATCCACCACCACTCCTTTCCTAGCTTTACCTCTCTTTCCCACCACCCCTGCTCTCCGCACTCCCCTATTCTTCCCAGTTCTATACCTTCCCTGACCCCTATCACCATGCCTCCCCTTGCTCTGCCTTTTCCTTTACTCTTTTCAGCTTCCTGCACCTCCCACTTAAAACCTTTCTTGTACTTCTCTTTTATTCCTCCCCAACCTTTCTTATCTACCCATGTTTCTAGCATTACTACTACATCCCACGATCTTAACCCTGTCCAGAAGTCCTCATCCTTTCTTTTCACCCCTGCCACATTCCAGAATCCCACCTTGTACACTTCCTTCTCCTTTTCCCTTTCTTTACTCCTCTTTAGTATCCTCTTTCCCCCTTTCTCCTTTTCCACCGCTACGCGTTTCCCGTCTTCGCCGCCCAATCCTCCCCTACCTCGTCCCACATCTTCACCACCCCATTCACCCACATTTTCATGTACCCTATTCGCACCCTGTTTCCCTGTGCCCTTTCTTTCTGGGCTTCTCTCTCTATCTTCCACTTTACTCTCCTTTCCTCCACCGTCAGGTCATCCTCTATCCTTTCTCTTTCTCCCTTCAGCTTACTCTTTGCCCTCATTACCTCCCTTTTCTTTTCCGGCCCTTCTAGCTCCACCCATACTACTCCCCTTCCTTCCCTGTCCTGTCCTCCTACCCTTCTTATCTTCTTTCTACCTCCTACGACTCCTATTATCTCCCAGATCCTGTCTACCTCCTTTATCTATTCTTCCCCTTCTCCCGTTTTCACTCCTTTTATCACAATGTTGTTCTTTCTTGTTTCCCGTTCTCTCCTATCCAATCTAACCTCTAGATTTCTCATCCTTTTTTCCTCTATTCCTTTTCTTCTTTCCCCTATCTCTACCCTCTCTTCTCCATTTACCCTATTTCTCTCTCTTTCCTCCTTTTCCAGCCTGTCCTTTTCGAGACCTTCCACTTTTCTCTCTAGCTCTTGTATCCTTTGCCTCATCTCAACTCTCTCTTCTTCCCATCGTTTCCTCATCTCCTCTCTCTCCTTCCTCCCTTCACTCGCTAGCTCATCTACCCTCTCTCTTATTCTTTCACACTCCGATCTCATTACACCTTCCATCCTCCTCATCATTTCCTCCATTTCTTTTGTTCCTGTCTCCTTTGTCGGTGATCTTTCCACTTTCCTACTCCTCTTGAAAACCTCCGCCTCTTGCAACTCTCTTGTCTGCCTCTTCTCTCCTTCTGCCTCCCTTTCTTTCCTTTTTCCCCTCACATTTGCTCCCACCAGATCACCCTCACTTGCTGTCCTCCCTATCCGTACTTTCTCGAGTGTTAAATTCCTTTTCAGACCCCTGCCCCCTTCTTCCGTAACCGCTTCCTTCCTTACCTGCTCCCGTCACTCCCTTCCCTACCGGGCCACGCTATCCTGACCGTCTGCCCTCTACCTTTCTATATGTCCTAACCACCTCACTTGTTTCCTTCCTTACCTTCTGTCTCCACCTGTCTGTCTCTCTTCCTTGCTACCTGACTCCCGCCTTTCCCAGACCCTCTGCCACCTAACCTCACTCTCTGTCTCCTTTTCTGTCTCGCTTTTAGCTCACCCTCCTTACCCTACCTATTTATGCTGCTTTATTCTCTTTGTTCCCTATTCCTTCCTTCTTCTAACACTATATTTCCTCTGCCTGTTTGCCCGTCTCTTACCCCGCACACCGTTTGCCCTTTGTACACTGTCACTAAACACACCTTCTCACAGCGTCACCGGAAACGGAAGTCAATTAGTAATATAATAATAATAGTAGTAATAATAATAGTTAGTCATAGGTCAATTAAAAGTTATTACGTCTTCACGAAATCATCTAACAAAAGGAAGATCAGTTCGATCCAGAATCAGTTTCGGGTCAGCAGTCATAGAATCCAGTCAGGAGTTGGAAGTCAAAAAGGTTCAGTCAGATGACAAAGTAAATCGTTCTCTAAAAAAATTCAACTCAAGAGAAGATCTAAGTTCAAATTCTATAAATCTTTCTAAGTCTTTCATCGCCGATTCCGGATTCGAGTTCAACAGTTAAACATCGTATTGACAATCTATTTTAATAACGTAAGTTATCTTATTTTATCTTTCAATTAACCCATTAACGCCGAGGTGATCAGAATTTTTACTAATTTTTCAACGTGTTTATTTATTATGTTATCGGACCAAAAAATAATGCAAT